GGAGGAGGAGGAGAAGGAGGGGGAGAGGGGGAGGAGGAGGAGAAGGAGAAGGAGAAGGAGAAGAGAGAAGAGAAGAGAAGGGAAAGGAAGGGAAGGGAAGAGAAGAGAGGGAAGGACTCAGAAGAGAACATTTTTAAAGACCGTCATTGCTAAGTTTACAAGGGAAAGTTATGGAAAAACAGAGACAAGCTTCCACAGAGAAGTGGAAACAAAAGGAGGATCTTCTTGGAGAAATGACAAGCAGAAAGCAAGAAAGCCAGAAAGAAAGAAGAGGGAGAGGCTGACAAGATAGAGCAGAGACACCTCTCAGACCCACCATGTGTCCTGGGATGTAGTCCCAGAAAGGGAGCAGCTACTTGCTGGAAACTTGAAGGACAGACCCTGAGTGAGCACTCCAGTGACTTGAAGCTGAAAGCTGAGGCACCTTTGGTCTAGGCCTCAATTTGAGGCTCCTCTTCCTCAAGGACCACATCAGCTGGGAGCAACACCCTGACCTTAAAACAGAAGGCAGAAGGAGGGAGAAGCACAAAGCCACACTGAGGTGACTGCATGTCAACCTAAGCCAAGCCAAAGCATTCCTAACACTTGTCTATTTGTGGCCTTGGGGCAAGTCAGTGTCTCTGCACCCCAGTTTTCTCTTTTACACAAAAGAAATAAAACAAAACATGTATATGTAGAACATCATATCTGTCAAAGCCATTTCCCCGAGCCAGTTGTTCAGGTGATAAAATTGAAGTTCAAAGAAATGAAGTAAATACCACAGTTACATGGTTTATGACAGAACTTGGATTCTAGTTCCACCCTTAATTCATTTCTCTTTGTAAACTTTCAGTGTCAGAGAACCATATGAAGTTTTTAAAAAATCGCTCCAATTTATAATGGAGGAAACCAAAATATATCTTCCACCACCAGGCTCATTGGCATCAGAATCAGGACCGAAATCCAAGTGTTTTGGTGCTAAATTAGTGGCCATTTCAAATGCACAACATATGCTGTTAGAAAGCAGAGCTGATGACACACAGTGCCACTCAGTCCCTTTCTGCAGGCCAGCAGGTGTAGGCCTGGTTACCTTCCTTCCCATCCAGCTCTGTACACTCCATCTTGTTTCAGAGTATTCGTTTTTTCTGATTGTATTATTTAGAAAATTTGATCATAGGGATAAAAACAGCTAAGATCTACTCCTGCCCCATCACTGTTGGTGAGCTCTATTTATGGACTCAGGAGGAGAGGGAGGACAGGGGGTAGCTCAGTGGTAGAGGGTAGAGGAGGGGCCAGACATGGTACCACATGCCTATAATCTCAGCACTCAGGGAGGCTGAGGCAGGAGGATCTCAAATTCCAGCCCAGCCTGATGCCCAGGCAAAGCAAAGCTGAGCCAAAACCCCAACCAGTTTCGGGTCTGGGGCTCCAGGCCCAGCTTGCCCTCTCTGATGTCCTCAACCTGCCTGATCCAATCCACACACCTCCCTCATGCCCACACCTTCCTGATCGTGTCCCTGGACACTGACAAGCCAAGGGCAGCAGGAACAGCAGCCATTTGTTCTGGTTATCGCTGCCGGTATTGGAGCCAGATGTGTGAGTGGCTGATGCTGACACAGTCCATCTGGCTGGGTTTTCGGTTTCCATCCCCGAGTTTACCACATCCACCCCAGCCCGCTGGAAGACAGGAGTTGAACATCTGGAAGTCATCGCAGCTGTCACGCTTCAAGGGGATCCTGTACCACAGAAAAGGGCATTCAAGACACAACTGAGCAAAATTATCCAGCTTGTCTTGTCAGTCCCAATTTCAAACACGAGTAGGGAGATGGCAACCACACTGTGGCACCCTCCTTCCACCCTCTGGGTTGCAACAGGTACCAAGAGCCCCAAGATGTCCCCCCAGCACACACACACATGTGCACGCACACTCGCACACACACTGGTCCAAGCTCACGTTTGTCCCAGAGTGTCAGCATCTGCTGTTGTCCTGGGTAGGCCAGGCTAAAAAGGAGCTTTCTTTTTCTTCTTTGATATCAGTTTGCTGGAAGGTTTTAATTAAACATTGCTTAGCCTTTCATTCTTCCTTCTCATGGCATTCAATGCTCTACTCCTACCCTACCTATTGCACTTTATCTCCTGTTACTTTCCCAAGGCAAATACTCCTTCTTAATCAAGACTAAAATAAATCATAATAAAGCTTACTTGAATCCCAGCCTTTCCTCTGCCTACAATCCTGTTCTCTTCATGTTCATGAAAAGTTTTTCAACCCTTCAAGGTCTACCACAAGTCTATTTTCATTCGTGAAGCTCTTCCTGACCCCATAAGCCTCCACTGATCTTCCCCTAAGTGTCAGCTCATGAAGAGGAAATACTGTTTTACATTTTTTGTCTTCTCAGCAGCCAGGGTTGTGTGCTGAGGTATAGTAAGCCCTCCATAAACCCTTGCTGAGCATAAGCGTGAATTAATGTGTTTTTAATCAGCTGTTCTTTCCACATAACTTTCTTATTATCTATTTTACCTTTCACGACAAGACTTAAAGTCTATGTAAAATATGTCTTGAACTTTTTGGAAAGATAGCTCTAAAACATCTAGTAAATTAATAATACCTGAAGAATTCTATCAATTGGAAATTCCATTAACTTGGAATTCTGCCCACTCTAGTGAGATGATCACTGATTTTTAAAAGTGCAGTTAAAAAAAATATGACAAGAGTATGTCAGCAATCTGTATCCTATTCCCAAGAAAGCCCCTCACTTGGGGGCCTTCTGCCTATACTTTCCCTCTATGAAAGGAAAAAGATTGTAGCCAATGGCCTTATGTTAGTCAGCTTTTTCAGGACCATGACAAAAATACCTGAGATTAAAAAAAATACCTGAGGGCCAGGGATTTAGCTCAGTGGTTCCACCATCTGCCTCACAAGCACAAGGACCTAGGTTCCATCCCTGGTACAAAAAAAAAAAAAAAAAAAACCTGAGATAACTAACTTAAAAGGAGAAAATATTTATTTTCATGCACAGTTTCAGAGATTTCAGTCCATGGTCACTTGACCTATTTGCTTCAGGCCTTTGGCAGTACTGTACATCATGGCAGCAGGAACACACAGTAGAGGAAGACTGTTCACTTCACAGAAACTGAGAAGCAAAGAAAGAGCAAGAGTCCAGGCTCCCAACATCCCCTCAAGGGCACAACCCAGCGACCTAATGTCCTCCCTCCAGGATCCACCTCCTAAAGGTTTCACCATCTTCTGGTAGCACTACAGGCTGGTGATCAAACCTTAGCTGCATGGCCAAACTGCAGTGGTTCTCTTCTGGATCATGGACAGAGCTGGGACCCTTTCCTGAGAAGAGGTAGGTTCTTGTCAGACCAAATGTTTTCCTTCATTTCTGGGCCTCTCTGGGATTGGAAGGCAGCAGTCCCTGTCATTCAGTATTTTAAGCTGATCAACATCAAAACAGCCTGGCTAAATAAATGACTGGCTACACAAATGACTGGGAGGAAGACCAGAATGAGGAAGAAACAGGCATGTGTAGTAGAAGGAATTAACCATGGTGAACACCCAGCATTTTCAAAATCAGGACAAGCCCTGGCAGCAAGTATTGAGAAGGATGAGGATTCCTAGCCATACCTGGAAGTTCCTGGGTTTTGTCCTTCTATTGTGCATTGATATGGATGCATGGCACCCTGCCCCACCCTTCCTGTACAGGACAGCAAGGATGTAGGAGGATGAGATCTAGAAACGAAGGAGAGGACACAGAAATGGTACAGGACCGCCATGGGGAATAAGTGTGATTCCCTGGTGTGGCCATCCAGCCATTGGGGGCGCCTGACTTCCAGTGGAAGAAGCCATGTAACAATGGTAAGGGACCCAGCAGGCTGGAGCCCAAGGGGCTCTGTTGTTCTGCATATGTGCACCTCTGAGCCCTCATCACCATATCATTTCTGACTAAATAAATCCCAGTCCTAGTCTGTCCTAAACCTGTGATCTCTAAGATATCCACACAGAATGAACCTTGGGCATTAAATTCCAGAAATCTCTTGCTCCATTCCTACAAATAAAAGAAGAAACTTTCTCCTCTTCTCCCAAAGAGGAATCAATTGCAATGGGAAGGTTACAGATTAATGACCTAGAATATATTTCTAGAGTAGGAATGATAATTAAGCTCCATTAAATCATAACTCCTGGCTTCTAGTGTTGGCCCCCGGCTACCAAGTCAAGAACTGTATAATTCCTCCATCCCTGGGGCTGTTGAATTAAAAGTAAATAAGCACTAGGGAAAAAGCCTGCTCACTTCCACTGTATCTATAATACCTCTTCTTGTCTGAGCACTTTCAAAAGATAGGCATGATTAGGCATGTCTGACCCCTTCAGGAGAGGGAAAAGTCATTTCTAATTTGACTTGGTTTATGAGCAACTTGACAATTTGACTAATTACTAAAGAGCCAAGACCATATCATCCTTTCATAAAAAGCTAATTAAAAAGGCTATTAATGCAGCCCATTAAATGAGAGGTTATGTAATCGTCTTAGGAGGACATAAGCTCTCTAGTAAGAATTGTGAGTATACCCAGAGTCATATCAAGAGGCAGGTTTGTGTCTCTGCTCCATTTAGAGGACTCACCTGGCTATTGAACGTTTGCCCCTTCCTTACCTTGCTAGCCATTCTTCTTTCTCAAGTAGACCCTGTTTCTTTCCCTTCACCTGACCTTTGTCCAAATCTCTCCCTCTCCACAGACACTTCCTCCCAAGTTTCTTTAGTCTCATGGAAACAAAGGGCTCGGAACTGCAGGCTGAGTCTTCAGCTGGCCCTACACACACACAAACAATTCGAGGGGTTCCAGAGAGGCCTTTCTTTCTCAAAGAGAAACATCTACCCTCTCCTTAATTGTGCTGATACAGTCCATGGAAACCTTGAAGGTTTCCATGATTTATAGTTCTATCTTAAACATCTCTGAGAGAGATCATGTGTACCCTGGCCCTTATCCTGCAGAAAGAGGTCTCGAAGTTCTCTGCATTCTGCACGGTTTCTTTGGCACCTTTCATCTTGTAACTTGCCTGTGATCCTACTGCTCTGGACTGCAGCTTCCCTCTTTTGTAGAGTGACTATTTGAGAAGTTCCACCTCGAAGCAGGAAAGTGTACTTAGGCCCAGGGACAAGTTGTGCCCGAGAGGATAGGGAGAAAGAGCAAAGTGAACTATTTTCATGTCTGAGACCAGCTCACACCACACAGGGCCCAGTCACATAGAGACTGCAGCTCCCAGCCTTGTGTGCATCTTGTCTCCACATCTGTGTGCACCAATAGGATGATGATGGGACCATGTTCTTTTTCGGGTCCCAGCCACTTTCCAAGCATTGTACAGTGTGAAAGTTAACATGTAACTGGCTTAATCTTATGCCCAATTTACTTTATGACTCAAGATGTCTCTAAAGAAGGGATACAGCTGATCTACTTCCAGATCTATTTAAATGAAATCTATCTGAAGGAATCCAAAGAAATTGATGGTTTTAGTCATCAAGATGTTCTGCTTCTGATATTTTAGCAACAAATTTGGCCTTTATTTTTCTGGCATCTAAGTGGTCACATGAGGGATTCCATGCTTTCTAAGTGAATACTGAGCTCAATAATTATTTTTTTAGTGACAGTCACCCTTTGGGAGAGAAGGCAGAACGCTCACAGGGAAGAAAGACAAAGAGCAGGCAGGTTGGTAGAAAGACTTTTGGAAAGAGAAGCCCTAATAAAAGCTTTGATCTTCCCTACTCTAACTCTGCTGCTGAGGCTGGTCCCTTCTAGGAAAGTCACACGATGCACACAGGCTCCCAGCACAGCTGCAGGATGGGAAGCATGTCTGCGTCTGCATGGGCCACTGGCCACACTCCCACCTGCTCCCTGTAGTAGCTCCTCCCAGGGAGGAAGCTCCCTCTTAACCCACCGGGCAGACAAGTTTTCAAGAAAAATGTAGTATTTTTTCTTTAACCCACTCCACACCTTTGGAAGGAAAATAAAAGAACAATCTATTTTAGGCCTTTAAGCCTGAGGCTAGCCAGCTCCAGACCCATCCCAGAGAACCCTTCATTATGTAAAACTTCTAGGTCTAGGGATGTAACTCAATGGTTGAGTGCTTTTCTACTACATGTGAGGCCCTAGGTTCTATACTCAGCACTGAAAAAAAAAAAAGACAAAGCTTTTGCCACTGACTTGGATTGAATATAGCTCCCCTCTGGCCCTCAAATTGTCAAACTATGCCGTTAGGATTCATTCAGTCAGGCCCAAGATCAACCCTAAATACACTTGGGTATTAGTCACCTTTCCATCAGTACTCATATATAATGGAATAGCTGAGAACATTAACTTACAAAGAGAAAAGTTTGGCTCACTCTTTTGGAGGGTCCAGCCCATGACTGGTTGGCCCTATGGTTGTGGGCCATGGGGAGGCAGCACAACACAGCCAGGAGTATATGGTGCTGCAAAGTACTTGCCTCAGGTCCAGGAAGCAAAGGAGCCAATGAGGAAAGGACTGGGATCCCACAATACCCTTTGAGGACACGCCCTCAATGACCTAAAGACCTCTCTGTAGGTTCCACTCCTTAAAGGCTCCACCATCTCCCTATATTGCCAGCCTGGGGACCAAGTCTTTAACAAATGGGCCTTTGGGGAACACTTAAGAGGCAGCCTGTTGCACCTCACATTAAAGATGACTCAGCTTGGGGGCCAGGGATTTAGCTCAGTGGTTCCAGCGCCTGCCTCACAAGCACAAGGATCCAAGTTTGATCCCCTGCACCAAAAAAAAAAAAAAAAGAAAGATAACTCAGCTTGACTTTTGAAGTTCTCCCAGTTTCACAGCAAATGAAGTTTTTTTCTTCCTTGTTCTTCCTCAGCTTCCACATTTCCTTCCACTTGCCACTTTATGAAGCAATCTCTCTGTTGTTGTTTTTCCAGATTCAGGCTTTTTTTATTGCTGGGTCCTCAATGTTAGTTCCGCCTCTATAGGGGAGCTAGGTAGGGGAGTCTCCACTGCCCACCTCCAGCAATTCAGTTGTACTTGGCGACCTAATTTGTTGTGTCCCTAGCTGCCCCGCCAGTGTGATCTTTAAGACCAACAAACAATGCGAAATGACCCCATGGGGCCACGTGGTCCCAGCCTCCTGCTTCTAGACAGGCGACTCTCCAAATCCTGCTGAAACAAGGATTGTATCTTCAGACAGCCCCATTCCTCTCAGGCGAAGACTTCTGTCCTAGATTACACCCAACTTTTGCCTGCCCTGCTTTAAGCTCCAATTCTCCTCATCTTTTGCGTCCACAGTAAATGACTGATGAGTGTTTTCTTTCTGTCCTTAGCTTTGTCTTCAGCAGAGAAAGTTTCCCCAGAAATAAAACTGCTCAGCTGCATCCTCCTCACTTGCCTCCTCTAAGCACCCTCTAAATCAGACCTGAGGCTCCATCGGGAGTAATACCCTCCCTCTTGCAGCTGGTCTGAGTTTTGTCGTCTGGGAGACTGGGCTTAGAACAGCTTGAAGTTAGTACAGAGGCGAACGAAGCTTTAAATCTCCACCACTTAACAGCTTCTCTGCAGCCTCAGAGGTAACCGCATTTGCTTCCTTGCTTCCTCTCATCTCTATATATATCTATGTAATCTCTGTTCACTGGAGCCTGACTCCAGCCCTCTGTCTGCACTGTCCTGATCGTGGTGAAAGAAAGAAGGACAAGGAGAAAAATTAATAGATAGCGACCCATAAAAATAACAGGCTCTCTAGAGCACACATGAAAAAATAATTAAACAGCTTAAAGC